CAGAATGCAGGAGAGAGATTTTCAACGACTCAGTGAGCAGCAAAAGTGCAAAAAATACTCGAAAAACCTGCAAAAAACCAGCATGGGTGCATGATTTGGACGGGGGCATGCTACAATTCTAGTTCTAAAAGTAAGACGTACGGCCGAAATCGCTACAAAAAGGTCGGCGTGAATGATTTGGGCAATGAAATTGTCAAATATTCATCCTGCCAAACATACAGGCTTATTTACGCCATCAACTGTGGTCGTATGCCCGATGATCTTGACGTATCGCACAGGTGTCATGAAACGTTATGTCAAAATGTAGATCATTTGGTTGCAGAAAGCAGGGTAGAAAATCTGCGAAGGCAGGGCTGCCTCTCACTCAAAATCTGCCACTGTCCCAACGAAAAACAGTGTTGTTGTTTTTCTGTTTAAACGCGGTATGTATGTAATTGCACTTACCTACTGCTTCACCGAGCGGAGTGAATGGTCGTGCTGCGCCACGGTCGGGTGAAGGAGCGTCCTGCTCTGCTGCTGACCATCAACGCGTTGCATCTGTTGCATCCTCATCCTCGCGCATTCCACTCGCGATCTTGTTTGCAGAGCAACACATGCTTCTCTCCTGGCACGCGCCGTGCCGCACCTGCAAGCACTCGACGAAGCTGGCGCGCACCTGCCTTAGGTGCGTTTCGAAGCACCCTGGCTGCTCGGGCAAACCTTGGCGTATCGCAACGCAGATCTCGCACGACAGAAGCCAAGCGACGGCGGCGGAGAGCGCTCGCTTCCACCTGTTGCGCTCCACTGTGGTGGTGCCCGGCAGCTGAGCATGGATCTGCTGAATGGAGCATTGCAGATCTTCTTCGCCGTCCGCCGTCTTATCTCCTCAAATTGCTGCAGAACGGGTGAGAGCTCGTTGACGGCTTTCTGCATCGTGATGGTGCTCGGCATCGCTACGTCGAGGTGCGTTAAGACGTACGGCGTATCGGTGACAGCACCCCCGAAGCTGTTGGCCACCACTGCGAGTCTCGTGTTAGGAACTGCCGGCTGCGGACCCTTCGAAGCGCCTGCCCTTCTCTCCACATCCGTGTAGATTTTCGTCAGCGCACTCCTGTATCCGCACCCTTTGCACGCCTATGTAGGCTGCTCCGATGCTCTTGCCAGCCTGTTTGCTCCAGAACAGCTCAGCTCTGCACGTCGTTGGGTGCCCTGCAAAACAGCATGTCGTTTACTCATTAGCACAGAATTTTATGAATATGTATGTATGTATGTAACAAGGGTAGAAATAAGGAGAAAAAAAGAGATGGTCCACAGGACCATCTAGTTTGAAGTTTAGATGGTCCTACTTAATTTCAAATTGATCTCGAAAAGTAATGCGGCGTGCAAGCGTAAGAAAGAGATTTTACATGGTGATAAAATGGTTTAATTATTCACCTACAATTAATGTATCAAACGATACAGTACTGTTTATTTACTTTAATAGTATATTGGTTAATAACAGCCGGAGAAGATATTATGTCAACAAATAGGACCAGTGAAAATATAGCCGTAAATGGCCCAAAAATATTCAAAAGGACATCGGACAATCGGCTTATTTCGACGCCGTACGTAATATATATACATACAAAAAAGGCAATTAGAAATACCCCGTAGATAGTTACACGGCAAAAACGGGAAAATAGTGCTATTTCACGACAACATTATTCAACTTTGCCTGCGAGTCTAGATAATTTTATGGTATTGTCATTAAGGGCAGAATTCTTTGCTCTCTAAAACCCAGAGAGACCGGGTACAAGATGGTGTTGCGCAAAAGATGCGTTTGTCCCCGACCGCCAAGAGCGGTTAAACCGCGCACATCCGGGATGGGCGCATCGCCATCCGCGGGACTGGGCGTGCACGCAGACTCCGCCGCGTCACGCGACCGCGGTGTTGTATGTAGCATTTCGCGCTGCCCGCTATACGAATTCGCGCGCCGAAGGAGGGCAGGCGCGCGAATCCGTATAGCGGGCAGCGTAATATCGCCCAGTTTTCGTCACACCTAAACCGGCTCGGCTACGGCGGGCATTTGCTGCTGCTGCTTGTGCTGAGAGGGTCTATGTGTACCGGGGTACTGCCGGAACGTACCCTGGGTACGGTCCGATATACCGGAACGTACCCTGGCACTATCTAATATGCCAGACCGTACCTCGCCTACTCCACTAACGAGTCTAGGGAGTCGCCTACGCCTACTCCCTAACCCGAACCCGAACCCTAACCCTAATCCTAACCCTAACCGTAACCCTAATCCTAACCCTAACCATATCAAATAGTGACCAGGGTACGTTCCGGTATACCGGACCCTGGTCACTATTTGATATGGTTAGGGTTAGGAACCGGACCGTACCCAGGGTACGTTCCGGCAGTACCCTGGGGGACATAGACCTTATGAGCGCTGCTTGCTTGTTGCGCGCTGCGCGGCAGGGGCGAGTATTTGTTGCTGCGGCTGCTTTGCCAGCAGTATCTACAGATTAGCTACGTGTAAAAACTGGCACGGCCACGCCACCACGTGCTCGCAGTATTCGCCGGCCAGCGAAATTTTTTTTCCCAAACGGTATAACATAGCAAAGAATATAGCGCCTTCTGATTGGTTGCTTCGATTTGCTTTGCCTTTGACAAGAGAACAAACGCCCATTTGTAAATGTTTGTTTGGGTTTATGACCGCTAGATAAGTACGTTTTCTGATGTATTTTCCATGAAAACATATCTTTTCCTCATTAATATAACATATAATATCACTATAATTGCAATTCTTTCTGCAAATGTCTTATTTTCATCTCAATCTTAAGTTATGAGAGGGTCTGGGCTCTCGTAATATTACATACATACGTATGTACACGCACTCATAGTGCTTCGTCGCAGGATCGAGGAAGGAGCGAAGGGCTACGACAGTACTACTAGAGCACGAAGGGTCGTTGTCGTAACAGGTACTACAGATATGTACCCGATGTAGTTTTAGGTTGTTTAGTATTATGTTTATATTTTTATATGAGGTATGTTTAGGGTACACTTCTGTAGTACAAGTCTGGTAAACTTTGTGTATACATATATGTACCTCGGGTACATATCTGTAGTACCTGTTACGACAACGACCCCTTCAGCACTACTAGAGCTACGACGGTACTATACTAGGCCTAGTACTAGGGCTACGACAGTACTAGAGCTATACGTACTCGTACTCGTTGACGCTAGTAGTAGTATTACCAGGAGTAAGATAATATAGGATCTATAGGATCTATAGGATCTATAGGATCTATAGGACCTATATTATCTTACTCCTGGTAGTACTAGTACGGTAGTAGTCGTAGTAGTAGCCTAGTGTTTAACCCTGAGGTCAGCCGAAACGTAAACTAATCGGACCACGGCACGAACATAAACAGAAATTCGGCAGCTATAAGTTAACTATAAGTATAAGCCTAGACCCTCTCATAACTTAAAGGCATAATTCGACCATCGATTATGCAAAGTTGACGAATGNCTTCCCCGTTTGTGCAAGGTATTATCTTAGAGTCTTGCTTTGTTAGTGGTCAAAATCTGGAGTTGTTTCACAGAATAAATCACTTGAAGAAACCCCAGTAGCCTTAGTCCCGCGGAGACTAAAGTAAACACGTCGTTCACTCGGCGGCGGTGCGCGCATTGCCCAACCCCAGGTTGCTGAAAACATGGCACGTACACAGCCAGGCGCCGTAACGGCGGCATCGCATTTGCAGATAGCATGTAGGCCGCGCCACCCCACGTGCAGCGCCGTACGAGACTTCGTAAAAAGCTCTGTGATAGACATAATGCTATATACTCGGCACTAGCGCCCGTCATCGGCGTAGCGGCCAACGAGCGAGCGCGTCATCGCTGATTGACAGATTTCTTGAGATTTTTGTACGAGTCACTACGTCTTAGCCATTGAGGGCGCGCCACCCAAAAAAGGTTAGGGGACGTTTGGAGATGGCCTCCTGCCGTCCATCGCGAAAATGTGCGTTGGATTGGCGGCCCAGTTTTCGCGTAGTGCGTTTTCAGACCCCTGTCTGACATATCTCTCTAAGGCGACAAAAAAGGGGGCGGCGTATTCGCGTTGGGGCGCGGGCTTCGCCGCGAGCTGTGCGCTGCGCGCAAAAACCGGGGCCGCAAGTCCGTCCAGAGAGACCGTGTACAAGATGGCGTTGCGCAAAAGATGCGTTGTTACCCGACCGCCGAGAGCGGTTAAGCCGCGCACTTCCGCGGACTGGGCGCACGCGACCGCGGGTGTTGTATGTAGCATCTCGCGCTGCCCGCTATACGAATTCGCGGCGCCGAAGGAGGGGGCGCGCGAATCGATCCGTATAGCGGGAAGCGTAACATCGCGCAGTTTTCGTCACACCTACACCGGCTCGGCTACGGCGGCCTTCGGTGGGGGCATTTGCTGCTGCTGCTGCTTTGCTGCTCCAGAGGCGCGCTGCAGCAGGGGAGAGTATGTACGTGTACGTACGATTAGCTACGTGTAAAAATGTATTTCATGAAAAAATAATTTTGTAAGGAAAAATGTAGGCTGACCTGAACGACACCCACGTATCAATCCAAACCATATTGCGCGTTTTACGTCATACATGCGCAAGCCATATTGTATTTGTTTGTGAGTGGTAGAAACAGCTAACTGGTTGGCTTCCTGTGATTGCTCAGCACACGTCGGTAGACAAACATCCAAAATATAAGGTCATCCATCTCAACGTCGATTTTCTTGCTTGCTTATTCAGATTCTTTCTACTTGAAAAAAAATCACTTTATGGATGACTGTAGTTTTTAGTATTAAAAGTTAGGGTGGCCTCCACAAGTGTAAATCCGGCCCTGGCTAGGGAACTCTCTATGAGGTGGGGTACAGATACGTACAGGGGGTAGGTGAGACAGGGGGCGGGAGAGGAGGGAGAGCGAGAGAGCGAGCGAGAGAGAATACTAAGTAGAGAAAAATAAAAGAAATCCATAGCACAAGAAATAAATACATGAGAAAAAACATTGTACAGGATAAATGCATTTATCACGCAAACTGGTGTGCATACACGCGCACAGGGAATCATAGTTACGTGAAATATGACATCCTCGCGCCATCTATCGGTAGAAATAATTCATATGCGCACATTCTATGTAACCGTAAAATGCATTATTATGCGCCGTGTCGCTGTGTCTCTGTCTGTCTTTCTCTGTATCTCTCTTGGTGTGTCTCGCCCTGTGCTCGCTGTCACAACCGCGGCAGCCACGACCTGAAAGTACACACCAGAAGTGATCCGAATCGCAGATAATATCCGAGTCGCATGATTTCACTGACGAACAGACAAATACCGAGACAGATGAACAAGAAGACAGGAAGGAATGTGTCTCATTCTTTGTATGTCTGTTGGTGTGTCTCGGTCTGTGCTCGCTGTGGCAAGCCATTCCGTGACATCATCCGGTATAAATATGGGGGCAAATCTCCGGGAGCGGCGAGTCAGCCAGTCAGCTGAGCAAAAACTCCTATCTCTCGCTGTGTCTCTCTCTCCCACTCCCACGGGCGGTACGTATTCTCGACGTATTGTCGTCGCCGCAGCCAGCGCGGAGCATGATTATGCATACGTATTGTAGGTGCTATTGACAGTTATGTTAAATAGTAACCGACCATTGACCATATTGCTAGGATTATATATAAAAGTTGGTGTTTATCTTTACTCAAATCTGGATAGCACCACATCTGGATAGCACCAAAGTAACCACATGATCTTACTGTGATGCAAACTCACAGTGACCGTATTATGCTAGTGTCATAGAAACACATCTACCATATTATCAAAAGTAGATAATAGGGAATCCCTATTAGGATTTCCTAATAGGGAAACCCTGTGATGTACTTGTGATATTATGTTACTATATAGCTGTTGGTACTCACCGGACGACGAGCGATGCTGAAAAGCCCGCGGCCGCGGCCGACGACCGGACGAAACGAGGAACACAAGTGACGAGAGAGACAGAATGGCATGTGCTTATACACCGTTGACCGACAATGTTATGTTGTTTGCGCGGCTTAAAGATAAGCGGCGCAAAAACTGCGCAAGCCCGCTGAGTGAGGCCGTCAGCCAGGCGCCGCGCTGGCTCATGGTTAACCTTTCTGCCTTATAATTCACATTTGTAATTACAAAATGCACAATGTTCACAATGTCAGTGCAAGGCAAAACATCGAATCTTTATGACGGTGTTCGTGCTTAAAACAATACCTGTCAGTGTCTAGCCCATTAAGCCAGCGTGCAACCCAGGGTGCACCGAAAGGTAACCTCTGGCTAGACTGGTTCGCGGCTGCACTGTTTGTCGCAGAGCGTGTACATTGTCTAGCAGAGCGTGAGGCCGGGTACCAGTCTACCCTTCGGCAACCTGGCACGTACGCAGCCAGGCGCCGCAGCGGCGGCGGTTTTGCAGATAGCAGCGAGCGGGCGCGCGCGCGGCGTTCGTAAAAACATGTGTGATTGACATCACGCTTTGTTCGGCCACGGACGACGTGATCGCCTAGCGGCCAATGAGCGAGCATGTGGTGGGTGATTGACAGCATTCTTGTAGGAGCCACTACGCGTTACCCTTAAGGCGCGCCACCCCAAAAAATGTTTAGGGGCCGTTTGGAGATGCCCTCTAGGCGTGGATCGCGAAATGTCGGTTGGATTCGGCCCAGTTTTCGCGGAGTTCGTTTCTAGAGCGATTCAGGTTAATCTGTCTAAGTGGACAATAAGGGGCGGCGTATTCGTTGTGGGGGCGCGGCAGGCCGCGCGCTTGCGCTGCGCGCAATAACGGGGTAAGTATTTGCTAGTCTAGTACTGGAGAAATTAGCGTTTGGATGCGCATTGTGAGCCTTTAAACGATACGCTTGAAACCTACTAAATGTATAAAACACCCCGAACGCGTAAGAGGGCAATAGCAGGTAATACGCATGTGTGTGCGTGTGTGGGTGCGTGCGTGCGTGCGTGCGTGCGTGCGTGCGTGCGTGCGTGCGTGCGTGCGTGCGTGTGTAGGCCTACACCGTGGAGTCGCATCGCAACCGGCACAAGGAGAACGTGAGGCTCCCATGAGGCAGGGGTAGAACGTGAGGCTTCCATGAGGCAGGGGTAGAGATGGCTCAGCACGAGGCAGGGGTAGAGAGATGGCGCAGCACGAGGCAGGGGTAGAGAGATGGCTCAGCACGAGGCAGGGGTAGAGATGGCTCAGCACGAGGCAGGGGTAGAGATGGCTCAGCACGAGGCAGGGGTAGAGAGATGGCTCAGCACGAGACAGGAGTAGAGATGGCTCAGCACGAGGCAGGGGTAGAGAGATGGCTCAGCACGAGGCAGGTGTAGAGATGGCTCAGCACGAGGCAGGGGTAGAGAGATGGCTCAGCACGAGGCAGGGGTAGAGATGGCTCAGCACGAGGCAGGGGTAGAGATGGCTCAGCACGAGGCAGGGGTAGAGAG